CTTGTAGCCAATCTTGATCATATAAGAGTCAAACCGTTTGTACCATTGACTCAGAGACTGTTTTAACACGTACAAAGATTTCTTCAATCTGCAAACTAAATGCTCATTTCAAGGTTGAGTGACACCTTCAGGCTACTACATGTAGATCTTCTCCTCTAAATCACCATGTAAAAAAGCAATTTTCACATCCATCTGCTCTAAATACAAATCCCAACTAGCCACCAATGCAAGTACTGCTCGGATTGAAGTGTGCCTGACCATAGGAGAAAAAATTTCATCATAATCAACTCCTTTCTGCTGTGAAAAAACCCTTTGCTAATAAATGAGACTTGAACTTCTCCCCCCTATTTTTCTGTTACTGCTGGTTTCTTCTTATACACCCATTTGCAACCAATAAGCTTCTTATCCTCAGGAAGGGGAGCTAACTCCCATGTGCGATTGTGATTCAAAGAATCCATCTCCTTAACCATGGCAACCATCCACTTGTCTTTTTCCTGACTAGTAACAACATCATGAAAAGTAACCAAATCATCACTACTAACAGTAAGTGCAAAAGAGACCAAGTCTTCAAAACCCAATCTGTTCGAAGGATTTATATTCGTCCGTCTCACCCTATCTCTAGTGAGACTATAATCCTGCAAATTAAACGTAGCGGAACCACCAGAAGTCGGTTGAGAAGTTTCTGTTTTCTCAACTGGAAACTGCTCGAAATCCACCACTGTCGTGTCTTTATTCTGCTGCAACATGGGATGTTCATAAAAAGCACCATCTCTACTGATCACAATTTTCTTCGCAATTGGATCCCAGAACTTGAATCCTTTGACACCTGTCTTGTAACCCAGAAAAATGTACTCATTCGGTTTTGCATCAATTTTGGATCTCTCATCAGCAGGTACATGCACATAAGCATGACAACCAAAAATCTGTAATTGATCAAAAGTAACATCATGACCAGTCCATACCTCTTCTGCAACTTTCCCAGCCAATGATGCCCTTGGCGATCTATTAATAAGATAGCACGCCATGTTAACTGCCTCAACCCAGAAGTGTTTGGGAAGCCTCACATTCAACCGCAAACATCTGGCTCTTTTATTCAATGACCTGTTCATCCGTTCCGCAAGACCATTCTGTTGTGGTGTCTTGCACACTGTAAAATGCCTCTTACTCCCATTCTCCTTACAGAAGTTTAGAAACTGTGAATATGTGTACTCCGTACCATTTTCAGACTGCAAACACTTGATTTTTTGTCCTATTTGGTTTTCTACCTCTGCTTTCCACAGCTTGAACTTCTCAAAAATGTCAGACTTCTGTTTTAAAAATACACCCAAACTTTATGTGAAAAATTGTCAATAAAATTAACATAATACCTAGATCTACCTAAAGATGATGTTGTGGAATATACATCAGAATGCACATAATCAAGAATCCCTTCAGTTGTGTGCTTCCCAGTCTTGAAACGAACTTTAGTCTGTTTACCAAGAACACAATAATTGCAAAAATCGAGCTTACAACTTTTAACACCATGCAACAGATTTCTTTTATATAATTCAGCCATACCACATTCACTAAGATGAGCGAGATACATATGCCATAGTTTGGTAGTATCACAGGACTCAAAAGAATGAACTCCACCTACAGTGGTACTCCCTAACAATCTGTAAATATTCCCTGCAGTTATCATTCCTTTAATCATAGTCAAAGCTCCTTTAACAATCCGAATGGTTTTCATATCCTCATCAGCCTTAGGAATAAAACCATTCTTGTGCAAAGTGCACAAAGAAATCAAATTCTTCTTCAAATATGGGATATGTCGAACACCACACAACGTCTTAACATAACCATCATACATCTTAACTCTAACATCACCAATACCAACAATATTGCAACATCGATCATCACCCAAATAAACAGAACCATAATTAATCGACTTATATGTCGAAAACCATTCCCTGTTTGGCGTAATGTGATAAGAACATCCAGAATCAAGAATACAACCATCCTTCAGTTGATTCGTTAAAATAGAGAGCATATCACCCTCACTGTAATTAGATTTGTCATCCTCGACCACATTCACATACTTGGATGAGTCATCACGCTTCTCATCAATCTAGTTTTTCAACTTCGGACAGTCTCACTTCATATGTCCCGCGTCATTGCACTTGTAACAGTGAATTGTCTTCTTATCCCTAGATTTGGATATGAAATTTCGCTTCCTAGACTCTGCCTTCTCTGTCTTCTGTCCACGGTCTCGATTACCCGTGACATATAAGCTATCAACTTGATAGCTTTCCACTGCATTCGATTCCGCTAGTTGTGAGCCAACTAGGTTGCAGTAATCTCCTCAACTTTGATAGTCTCTTTCACATATATAAGAGTAGTCACCATATGTTCGTAAGACAAGACAACGAACACAACAAAATCATTGCTTTGTCTTCATCCTTAATTTTCACATCAAACCGAGCCAAATCAGAAACAATTTGATTGAAGACATTCACGTGTTATGCCAAATCATTATCATCTTGTATCTTCAGCCCATACAGCCGCTGCTTTAGATACATATTAGTCGTTAAGGATTTGGAAATAAATTGACTTTCCAACTTCTTCCAAATTTCATCTAGAGACGACATATGCATGATGTGATACATGACCTCGTCCGCCAAACATAATGATATGGTTCTTTCCGCTCGCTGCTATAATTCTTCCTAATCTTCCTTCTCCATCGACGTCGGCTTTGTAGGCCACAAAGCCTTCAGGATCCCTTGTTGTGCCAACAGATCCTTCACCCTTATTTTCCATAATCCTAAGTTACCCTGACCATCGAATTTCGCAACTTCAAATTCGGCTTCTGACATCTAATACCAATTGTTGAATAATCGGGTAAATAAAATGGAAATAACACAAGAATTTTAACGAGGTTCAGCAATGTGCTTACGTCCTCGGTGCCCTAGGTGGCGCTAGAATTGTTATTCAATATCTCATAGGTTTAGGTTACATCTCCTTTTATAATAAATAAACCCTGGTACATATTTACAAAAATAACCATGTACCATACTACGGGCACCCCAACCTACATAATCGTAACCCCCACTACGAGACGTTCTTTGTAAGGACATATTATGTTCACTTCGCTCACTCCTCTCAATCCTCTGTCCTCTTTACCGATATATTTATTAGTCATACCTAACAGAATGACTCAATATGTACTCTTAATCTCTCGGCTGATATGGAACTACTATAGACGATAATGCTCCGCTACTAGTTACCTATGAACCTACACACGGAAAAACATTCTGAACGATGAGCTTACGAGTTCAGTGCCAGACTAATAATTGTATTGTACTACATGCATTCATTAGTTGAGAATGCAAGTGGAATAGGTATAAAGTCATGAAAATACTGATCTAATATGTTGAAGTAGGCATCATGGTACGACTGAGTATTCTGCTCTCGAAGCTCACACACCCCTCTAGCCCTTTTGAAATACCCTCAAGTATTTGGGTGAGATCTGGAGCTGCATCAGAAATGTACGTCATCCAATTAACTCCGTCGAATCTTGAGGCATCTTCACCCAGCTGATTATTGAAGTGTCTTGGCACTGACTAGGATATCCAACTGACTATCGCGTTTGACTAAAGAGACTCGGGTGTCCTGGTTGTTCCCAAGTGTCGAACAAGGCTAGTTTTATGTAATCCTAATTGTTATTGTTTCTAACTATTCTAATATAATTATTGTTCTTACTTGTAGTTTTATCTGCTGATATTTTGATATAATTATTTTGTATATTATAATTGCAATTACATTTACAGTAAATGTATATTATAATATAGTAAGACAAGTACTAACTTAAATGATTAATTCCATAATTAAATCAATTTAATCTCATCAAAATATTCAATTAATCAGAGAAACCGCACATAATTTATAGTTCCATTTAAGGATTTAAAATATTAATGTAAGTGTGACACGTGCTTATAACAAATAAATAACAATTAATGGGACATGTAGTGATTTTTAAAATTCACTCGCATGGTAAAACAAAATTCTACTTTTGGCGCACAAAAATATTAACCCTACATATAAAGTTATTTAGTATTTCTACTATTATTAATTAAGGTGAAATATTTATTTTGCTTCCGATATTTTCATTTCGATCATTTAACTATTTTTAAAATAATCACTAAATGTAAGGTTTTATTTTGTTTTGTACGCCTGTCGTTAAAAAATAGAATTACTGATACGACAACTATTTTATTTCTTTAGTGATGACATGATGTTACCTTATAGGGATACATTATCACAACGGAATAAAAACATAAGTTTAGTGATAATTTTTAAAAAAATAGTCAAATGACCAAAATGAAACTATGAGAATAGTTGAATACCCAAATACTTAATTTAATCTATTAATTAGTTACATTAATTTTACACCTTTTTTTATTCAGTCTTATATCACAAATAAGTACCTAAAGTATACCTTACTTTTCATTTAAGTAACTAAACTATTTTTTGGTCAAAATAAATACCTAAAGTTATCTTTTTTGTCAAAATAATTACCTAAAATATTTTATGTTAAAATAGGTACCTAAATTATTCAAACTTTTTAATCTAAGTTCTAAAGAAGTTGACAGATTGCATTAATTAAAGAATATTTTATGTACTTAAATGAAAAAATTAATATTTTTGGTACCTATTTTGATCAATAATACTTTAGGTACCTATTTTAACAAAAAAATATAACTTTAGATACATATTTTGATCAAAAAAATACTTTAAGTACTTAAATGAGAAAGAAAATATACTTTAGGCGCTTATTTGTTATATAAGCCTTGTTTTTACTAACTTGGGCAGTGTCAAACTTTTCCAGTATAAATATTCTCCAATCACTCAAAATTTGCACATCCACCTTTCTCAGGAGCATCAAACAAAGAATTCCGATGATGATGAACAACAAACTCTCCTTCAAGAAAACCAATTCATTTCCCATAAAAAACCCAAACTCCATGAATCAACCAATAAGCAACTGGAGATCTCCTCATCATCATCATCACATTGAGTTCCCAACATCCCCCGTGGTTCAGGAGGAGGGACATGAAATGTTCCATGCGACTCACCCGCAACACCCCATCTCCCAGGCTCACTTCACCGACCTCTTCGTCTGCGCCGCCTGCAAAGAGTTCGGCGCAGGCCTCCGATTCGCTTGCACTCACTGTGACTATCAGCTTCACCACTTCTGTGCCTTAGCACCTCCTGCTCTTAAGAGACACCCCATCCACCCATTTCACAAGATTATTTTGTTTTACAAACCAGGTAATTATTACTTCTTTTAAAGCAATATGGTATTCCCATGAGCATTAGGCTAAAAATGCAATAGGTTAAGGCTATTACATCAAACCATAACTATAAGCTTCAACAACTTGAATTAACTTGCTTATTTTGCACTTTAATTTTCAACATGAATTAACTTACGAATTTAATTTAGATCATGGATTGTTTTCAGCTTGTATTGTAATAAATAATTATAATTTTTTTAATAGACTGGTGTGTTTATGAGCTATTATCTGTTCAGAATTTTTTTTAATTATTGACAATACAAACACACTCTGCAAACGCGATTGCTCAAACCAAATGCTTCTATGGAGAATAATATTCCCTTTAACCTCGTGCTCTCAAAAGACACCCCCATCCACCCCTTTCACAAGTTTATTTTGTTTTACCACTACACGAAGATATTTATAGCTCAATTTAATATCAATATAGATGGATTCCTCCCATGTATATACATTCGCATAGAACACATGCGATCATGTTTCTAATAATATAATCAGTAAATCAACTAGATTCTTGACTAAAACTAAAAGTCCTAAAATCAGTTCATTTAGTATGTTGTGTTAAATGTTTTGATGCTATTATAACTTTATGACAAAAATATTCGATTATTGTTAAAGGTGGAATATTGAAATCTGGGTGCGATATCTGTGTCAAGCCAATCAAAGGAAGCGTTTTCAAATGCAGTGTATGCAGATTCCAGATGCACCCATGCTGTGCCATGTTGTCTACTGAACTATTCAACAAATCCGTCCATCCACACACTCTAAGGCTCTTGCCAATGCACGCCGACGGCCAGTCATCGAGTGCGGACTCTGCCGGCTTCGTATGTGGCGAGTGCCACTGCAGGAGTTCCGGGAGAGTGTACCATTGCACCATCTGTGACTATCATCTCCATGCAGTGTGTGCTAAGAACACGGTGAATGGAGTTCAGGCCAACGGTTTCAAAGGCGTTGAAAAGGTGAGCAAGATAGGGACTGCGGCTAGGGTTGCTTCTCAAGTGGTGATGGAATTTATTGGAGGGCTGTTTGAAGGGATTGGAGAAGGGGTTGGAGAGGGCCTGATTCAGAGTGCTGCTAAAGGATCAAGGTACCACATTAGTAGCTCACCTACTTGTGGATGGTCTGGTAACAAAAGTAGTGGTATCAAGCGGTTCACCGTTTTGGTTTCAGCAGAGTTACACTATGTTTTATGCGGGAAAAGAAGTGAAAAAGGGACTAGAGAAAATGATGAACAATGAGTGTGGGGTTGAAGCTCTTTCATACTTTCTACTACGAGTGTATATGTCATTTTCTCTAGATAAGATGTAGATTGAGGCCTTCCTCCTAAACAGGGACGAAATGAGGGTTGAATTATAAGGGGAAGTTCTTTGGCTTCAAAATAAATAGGGTCCTAAAAAGTAATTTAACCATAAAAATAAAGATATTAGATTTAATTGCATTAATTTTAAAATTCAAAAGTCTTGAAATGTAATTAAACTAGACAAATTTGGGATTAAAGCTTATTTTCATTAATTTTAAAACTGATAGTGTCCTAAAAAACTTATACCAAAAACTTTTGGTAGGGATATGGGCTTAATTGCAATGCTTTCAGAATTAATAGTGACTTAAAAAGTAATTAGACCATCAAAATTTTAGGAAGGACATTAGCGCTCTAACCTGTAGCATGAATCCGTCCTTGCGTTGAAATCGAAGATGATGAACCGCCTAAGATCACTACCTTCCTAGCCAGACCACCAACACTAGTAAAGCATAAAATATTTCTTAGTATAACCTATATGTACATGTTTTTGTTGTGTATAGCTAGTGATATAAGTTCAATGCTTTCTTGTTTGTTTTACAGTTGATGGGAGCTCTCAGGGTTATAGGTTGCAGATATATTACAGCAATTAGTATATCCAAATTATCTTTCTTATTGATTCTGTCTAGAATTATTACAATTAAATGCAATTGTATTGTCATGTGAATTAATTTTATTTATCCAATATAATTATTCAAATTGTAGCTAACATCCTCGAGTTTTAGTCTATGCGTGGAGCTTTTGTTTTATTTTTCTAATTGGAAAAGAGAGTTTGAACCTTCTTCAGAAATGAAAATCGTTCGTTTAAGATTGAATCGAGGTTTTGTATTGTAAGTTTTATATATATATAACATCCTTTTAGGATAATTGGATGAGAGAAATTAAAGGTTGAGATTAACAGTAGAAAATGAAAAGACATTAATTGGAAAAAAAATTAATATCGACCTTTAATTTCCTTCAATCCAAGGGTTTTAAAAAGATATAAAACTAAAAGAGTTTTACGCAACATAAGTAGACCCTGCAACACCCTAATCTGACATGACACAAAAGTCAACCGATTATAATGTCACAAAGAACCACCGGAGTGATTAACCCAAAAATTTTCTTTAAATAGTTAATAAATCTTAAATTTAAAACCATTCAAAGTAAAATTAATCAAGTAAAGTAAATCAAAATAAATATTTATATAGTTTACATCTGGAGCTACCAAAATATGTATATAAAAAATAATACAACTGAGTATTTCAAAATAAAATTACGATTCAAGTACATGAAAGTCTATGAATAATACATGCCCTCTAAGGAATATGACTCAAGACGTACTCTACTATTTACTCAGTCTGGGATGTCCGTTGTGCGATAAGCTCCTCGATATCTCCTCCTAAATACCTGCGCACGTAAACAAATTCCAAATGCTGAGCTCACTAGCCCAATGCCACACTAACAATGACACCATACTGGAAGTGTTCATTAAAGGCTCATGCTATCTAGTGCAATAAAGATAGTGGATACACTCATATACTCCACTCTGCTTTAAGGTATACATCTCGGTGTAGTCAGAGAGTTACACATCTCGGGACACATACCCCTTTAGTCTACCTAGGGTGAGGTCCAAAATCTCTACATCGAAAACAACACTCGACTAAACCACCCATCGCGAATGTTTGGGCCTCGCGCCCTAGTTAGTCATTATAAAGTGTCTCGCACACTACCTAAGGATATACGAACAATTCTATTTCTCTAAACCAATAACATTTACTAAAATAACTTGGGTGGTCAGTTTTATATCGTCCTAGATGATTATTGTTTCTAGCTTTAGTTTATTAGTAATACGGTTCTCACTTGTACTTTTATTGAAAGCATTTATGGAGTCCTTGGGTTCCTAAATACATCTTCTAAATTCCTTGAAATGTTTGGCCCTAAAATGTATGATGGTACCAATACTAGGCCTCTCAGTACTCATACTAGCCCTTGAGTATCGATACTTCACCTTGGGTATCGATACTTGACAACTAATTTCAACTGGGGAAAATGGTAGTATCGATACTCTCAGACCAAGTGTCGATACTCCCGGGCTAGGGTAACAATACCATTCAAGGTATCGATATTAAATTTGGGTTAGATTTTTTTTGAAAAATGCCTCGACCCCTATTGGAAGTATCGATATTCTACCCTTGGTATCGATACTCCCATGAGTACCAATACCAAAATTGAACACTAGAATTTTGGTCTCAAAACCGCTACTATGAGTATCGAGATTGAGCCTAGGATATCGATACACTTATACTAAGGTCCCCTCATTATGTTCCACGCAAAAACAGTATCAATGTTATTCTTCCAATACCGATACCCAAACCCACAAATACCTTATTCAAGAAATTAACTCCCAAAGTTACACAAGATACCTTACTAAGGTCCCCAAACATTATTAAAGTCTTATGTGTGATACACAAGTTATAAAAAGGGCTTTAGAACATGCTAAAACCACCAAAACATAGAATCTATCATGGAAGCTCAATCATGCTTCATAACTCAACCCTCTAGCTATAATGCAATATAATGACTCAAAAATGGTATAAAGGAGTTGTTAATGTGTTACCTTAGTCTCTTAGCTGGTAGAAACGTCCTCCAATCACCCAAGGATCAAATTTTCCTTCCCTCTAGCCTTGGTACTCTCTCCCACTTCTTTCACTAATCAAATACAATAAAATGAGTTAATAACTCATCTAGGAGCTTGGATTGAAGTTAGGAACACTTGCTAGAACATAAATCAAATAAAACATGTTGGAAATCACTTGGTCTTTTAAACCCTATAATAATCCCCTTTTGGTTTCTATGGCCAAAACTTGATTTTAAGGACTTAAGTGAAAGCTTGGAAGGTGGAGATGAATATTCTTACATTAAAAAATCTAAATTAATCTTGTAGAATTGTCATGTTTTGATCTTTGATATTTTTCTTGAGAGAAAAAAAAAGATGACGAAGAAGATGGGGAGCAAAGTTGTTGAAAGCTAAGAGCATGGATACCAACGTGATATCACTTTTCATTAAATATTTTCAACTTTTTAATTGAAAAAAGATATAATTTCTCTTTTAGTCTTTTGTCTTTTGTCCTAAAATTAAAAGCACTCCATTTTACCTTATATTGGGCTTAACCCAAGTCTAACTTGGAATTCTTCATAAAAACTAATTTATCTAATTTAGAGACCTCTCTGCTTAGCCAAAAACTTTTAACATAAGATTTGGAGACTTAAATATCCTAACCCAAGTCTGTTTTCTATCTCATTTTTCCTTCTTTATTAAAATCATGTCACATGTGTTTTTCTTAGTTTTCTTTCCTTTATATTTCTTCTATAATTCATTTTTAAAATTCTAAATTAAAATTAAAAAAATTAAAATAAATTAATAAAATAAAAATAAGTTAATTCATATTTTTAATTTATAGAGCAAAAAACTAAAAATAATTTTTACTTTTGAAAAATGCTAATTAATATTTTCACTTTTAAATTGGCAAGTATTTAATTTGATATTGACATTTTACTGATTGTTCATATAAGAGATCAAACATTCAAAAATGTTAAATAAAGGATCAATCTTTTTAAATTACATCAACTAAGGAATTATATCAAACATACATTAAACTAATTAAAAACATATCTAATTGATTTTTTTTTACAAAATACTTATTTAATTATTTTGTAATACCCCAATTCCCAGGTTAGTAGTTCAGGTTGACCCGAGACACATAAATAGAGCCCAAAGGACTTATTAGAATAATGTGGATTTAATTAAGTTGGAATTGGGCTTGGGTTGGGCCCAAGTGTTAGGTTTTGGGATGAGTTTATTAAGAAAGAAAAATAAGAGGGCCTAAGGTGTAAATTTCCCATTTTTCAAATCAAGAGCTAAAACCCCTTATTTTATATGATATCAACTTGATCCATTCCATATTTTCCTAACCAAACACTCTTCCTCTTCTCTTCATTTTCTTTCTTCATTTCCCTGTCTTTCAAGTAAATAAAATATTAAAGCTTTAAGGATTTCAACACATAGATGGGTTTATCTAAGGTAAGAAAGTTATTCTCCTTTTCAAGAGCTTCAATTCAAGCCCCATATGTCAAGTTTTAGGCTTTGAGCCAAAAATGGGTTTAGTGGGGGTTTAAGGACCTAGGGGATTTTAACTTGTTTTATGAGTAAAATGAAAGTTAGAAAGTGTTATTAGATTCACAAATGTCCTATAAACAAGTTAGTAACACCATTTCTATGTTATGTTGGTGAAAGAAGTTGGAGTAGGTTCCAAAGTAAAGGGTAAGGATAACATATCTCTTGGGTGAATTGGGACATTTTGGTGCTACCAAGACCTTAAGGTAACACCCTAAACCATTTGCAAGCCTTTTTATTCATTGGTGTAGCTTACATTAGTTTTGTTTTAAGTTATAAGCATGTTTATGGTAAATCATGGTTTTATGTGTTTCTAAGTGTTATAATGACTCCTTATGATTGTAATAAACTCAAATAAGATACTAATAAGATTTGGGGACCTCTTTAGGGCCTCTAGGATTATTTAAAGAGGACTCAAAATGCCCAAACATGGCATTATCGATCATTAGTATCGATACTGGAGGATGAGCATCGATATTGTTCTTATGCAAGGCTTAAATAAGTGGGTTTTAGAGTATAAGTATCAATACTCATGCATTAAGTATCGATACCAAGGGCTCATTGTTGATACCTTAAGGAGGGGTCTTGAAATTGAAATTCCAAACTACAATTTTGGTATTGATAGTCATGGGAGTATCGATACCAAGGGTTCTTCAATATGAAATCAAGTGAAACGACATTAATAATGGGATATTTCACCTAGAAAACCTATAACTTAGGGAATTATAAGACTTGCTTTATGTGTTGTTCGGGAAAAAAATGGGACAATCGAATCACTCTATAAA